AATTAATCACAGTCAAAGTAATTAATTATTTTATCGCATATATATATATATATATATATTGTCTTCGACATTTAAATATCAAGTATCTTCAACTCTAATCTATACTTTTCTTTATTACTTTGATATTGCTAATTGCATTAATATAGAAGAACTCTTCTTTGTATTATTTTTAGGAATTAAATTAATAATTTGAATTAAATTTAAAATATTTAAACGATTAATTCAGAAAAGACATCTTATTAAATATTTTGTACTGATCTATATAATAAATTGAAATTAAATATAACAAGTAAAATAGTGTCCGCATTCAAATTAACTTATATATTTATAATCTTCAAATACATTGTTATTAAAAAATTTACGAACTATTATGATTATTAACTATGATATTTTCAACTCATAATTGGTTTTAATTATTTCCGATACTAATAGTTAACTAATAGTATATTCTTCTACTTTTCTATGTGCTGATTCTATGTAAGTTCATTTAATTCTATCATATTTATATATATATATTTGTATATATATATATATATATATATATATATATATATATATATATGCATTATTTTTTTTTTTTTTTTTTTTTTTCATAATAAAATTATAGTTAATCTTATAATTGTTAAAATTTTAAAGTATATTATTAAAAGTATAAAAATATATTATAGAACAAAAAGATTAGTAATAAATTAATACATATTAGTTTTCTTTAATTCAATAAATAGTGATTGAAATAAAAAATTACTACCAGTAAATATTGAAACCTTTAATAATTAATATATATTTAAATGTTTAAATATACGTATTTTAATTTTATGAATTTTATATATTTCAATTCTTTATTTCTCTTCATTACACAAGAAAATAATACAAAGTAACTACGAATCAATGCAACTATTTTTTGACTTTAACAAGTCTCGTTTTGCAATTGTGAATAATTTTGTTTATTCTTTCTGCCTATAAAGCCAAAAATTTATTTACAAAGAAAATCTATAAACGTCGTTATGTTAATTCCTAATGATAGGTTTTTTAATCGTTTTCACTTGTCTTCGGCGTAACTCTCGTGCTCTTATATTTAAATTTAAAATTTAAAATTAACTTTCAATGGTAAACAATTACTTATTAATAATTTGAAAATTTTTATGAAAGTTTAATATTGTTCATTTAATAGTCGATAAAATTACATTGATTTTATACAAATTTTACTATTCGTTCTGTGCAAAAATTGTACTTGCAAAAATTGATTCGATTTCTATTTATTTTTCACGAGTATATTTCTACTTTAGAATTAAATTAATTGTCTTGTAAGCTTCACAATGATAAAAAATATAAAATAATTAGAATTAAACAAAAATATATTTCTTAATCTAATAGCTTAAAATTAATTTAATAAATTGAAGTTGATATTATTTATTTATTTCCAGTGTTTGGTTCTTAACCTGTCGGAATATCGACAAATAAATAGGAAACATTTAATTTCAGAATTAATCTTCAAAATAGTTTTCTCAATTCTTTAATATCTTTTGATAAAAAGTTTGGATAAACAATACCAATACCTTTTCACATTTATCTCAAACAAATATTAATGTATGACATTTTCGAATAAATATAATAATGGCGTTCATAGGATTACATAAGCTTGATATTAATGGATTAAGCTATACTGTTGGTGTTTTAAAAGACTGAAAGATAAAATTAGAAAGAATAATTGGAAAATAGATCGACAAAATGTAAACAGAAAAAAACGCAGAGAGTGAGTGAGAGAGAGAGAGAGAGAGAGAGAGAGAGAGAGCAGCAGCAGCAGCAGCAGCAGCAATAAGAGTAAGAGGGAGAAACAACAGACGGAAGGATTGATGAAAAAGGGTGCTGACTAGGCACACATGTTTTCTCGAGCAATGAATACGTATGTGTGCATAGCTCGTGGGAATAACAACGATTCGAGCTTTGTAACAACGAGGAAACCAGGAAATAGTCGCTTTAATAACACGGAATTCTTCTCTGATTTACCATTGAGTCTCGAAACCAGCAAAGCTTATGCATTGGAATCGTATTTATGAAAAGTTGTTGGCATCGGGGCCGTGCTATTTAATTAAAACGAAGTCGTGCCGAGCTCGTCGCTATTGTGCAGAGCTACAAAAATAAACACGCGACATTAGGAAAATGTTTTTGCCGCTTAAGTAAAAATAGAGGCCAACGCATGAGAAATCAGCTTATCGATGCGATGCATCGTGCCTCCATTCGCTATTTATATTTCGATGTAATTCAAAGGTAAAATGTAATTTAGCTGGAAACGTAGGTTATTATAAAATCAATGAACGTTCGTGAGAAAAAATAATTAGCCATGCCTCCCGTTGGTATAACTACAAGAAGCTAAATAAAACGTTGAATAATAGTAGTGAAAAATTTATTTCAACCTAACCATTAGCATTCAATTAATAAATGTCATGCACATTAGCCATCGTTCCCAATCAAGGAAATATTTCATTATATGAAATAACTTATTATGCTATTTTAAGCTCACTATTTTGTTTTTTTTTCTTCCTTTTTTTTTTTTTTTTTTTTTTTTTGTATTGTCTTTTATAATAATAAACGTTAAATATATAATTTTTACAATAAATTTTTAATAAATGATAATTCTTCAATGTCCATGTTTGAAAAAATAAAAAAAAAAAAAATAAATAAATAAATAAATGAAATAAATAAATAAATAAATAATAAAGTAATTGAAGCATACGTTCAGCAATAGTGGAATTGCCTAATTATTTAAACTATATCGGCATGGATTACTTTTTATAGCACACGTATTACACGCGTTTAACTATACTGTTATAGAATAATAAATGAATCATTGGAAAGTAATTTACTATAAGCGAATCCGATAAAAAAAATGTATTTATAATTTACGCGATTATTAATAAATATATAACAAACATTTGTTGTATAAATTATGTTGACGTATTAAATTATAATAAATAGTGATGAAATTGACAATGAAGTGATATGATCATAACCAATAATTTCCATATAACTGATATATACAAACTTATCTTCACGTAATGAATGATTAAATATTCATTATTATTAAGTAAAAAAATCTATTATGTATTTTATTGAATTGGGGAATAGATTGGGTAATTGTGAGGACATGAGTAGGTCGATAATTACATATATTCATTCAACGTGTGATTTAAGGTATGAAAATAAATTATATTAATACAAATGAAAAATAATAGATATAAGAAAGAAATACAATTACGGGTATAAAAGAATACAAAGACACATTTTTAATATTGATCATATTTGTTGATATATTTTTTTCGATTAACGCGCCACAAAGAATTACCTACATATGTACACATAGCTATATGACATGATAATATCGTACAACGTATTATCTTACAAAATCAAACGCATTTATTGCGTTAAACGCCTTTTTTTTTTTTTTCCTTTATAATTGTCACCTCTAATAATCGACTATTCGATCTCTCTACTTAGAAGCTAAGAACTTTTTACAATATTCATATAGATACATGTTTATTTCTCGAAGTTAATCACTTACTTTTCAACGAATGTCTTTAACAATTGAGCAATTTTTGCAATTGTTACACGCATTTTAATGAATGTAAAATCTTAAATAAATATGATTATTTAATTAATGATATTTAAATATTATTTTACAACAAATCTTCTACATGGTAATACATTGTCATTATAAGTGATGCCCATAACGGTAATAAAATTATAATAAGGTGATGTTAATCATCGTGAGTATTCGATAAAATTGTGTTGATTTACTTGACCGAGTTACTTAATCAACATAAGTTACTTAAATCAACACCGTACAATTTTACAACTAACGAAAAAAGAAAAATCAACAAAATAACAACAATATTTCTAATAAATAACAATAACTCAAATTCATAAAATTTAAATAATCAATTCGTTGAATTTGTAATCGATTCTTGCACAATCGATAGAATTTATCAAATAAACGATTAGAGAAATAATTTCTAGAGAAAATATTTATTTTAACATATAAACTAAGAATATTATGTAGTTGAATGATAAATTAAAATTTTTTAAACTTAAATATATATATAATTTTTTTTTTTTTTTCAATATTGATAGATAGATAGATAATTTTTGAGTGTTGAGATTTCTTCGTATCGAAGCTTTTAAATTTACTAGAAATGCATAAAGCATAAATGATTTTTATAAAAATAAAAAAAAAAAAACTTAGCCATTAATTACTTATTAAACAAATTTATAAATATTTTTGGCATTTTATACAATGTTACGTTCTATTTCAATTTGTACAAAAAAAGTTATATGACTGTAGTATTAAATGTAATAAGATTTTTTTACTATAATTACATTTAAATAATTAAATTAATTCTCATTAATCTACATTGCTTATATTGTGTATATATTAATGTCATTTACACGTGTATAAACATCTTGTCGGTATAACAAAAATTTTTCATTTCTCATTCTATACATATCTGTCAAAATGAAATGATATTAATTCTATAAACAATTAGTAATTATTTTTATCGCTCTTATTGAATGCCATTTCTCATCTCTGTCCAACACTAATAAAACAACTCCCGATTATAACGCAAATAATACGTGAATCTTATCTACGACTCTATAGTACTTTTAGAAGAATATAATAAATGTGGCTTAGATCAATTTGAAGGTATTGATTGGTTTGAGAAGCGAGTGCGAGAGAGAGTGCGAGAGAGAGAGAGAGAGAGAGAGAGAGAAATATATTGTCTATCCGGCGGTACTTACAAAATCACTATTGTAATAATAGCCTCTCGTCTGACATGGTCTCGCTACGAGTCCCCATCCCCTCGCATTCCTCCCAAGGCTCGACCGTTCTTTGCCACGGCAGCCATTATTGTCAAGGACTTCCGAGCGCGAAGCCGTGAAAGGTGAATGCGATCGGGACCGCGTCCTAAGCCACGGCCGCAAGGAGTTCGATAAGCCATGGGTCCAAATCTTCATTCGAAATTCATTAGTTGTCGTTCTTGCGCATTAGCTCCTCGGCCTTGACCCTGAGTAATTCGGCGCTGTGGCGCCTGAGCTCGTCCTCGTCCGAGTTCGAGTCCTCGTCGGCTCGCTCTCGCTTCTTGCTACTGAGGTTCTGGGGCAGACTTTGCGGCATTCCGCAAAGTCCGACATTCTGCAATGATCCGATCTGTTGCTGCTGCTGCTGCTGCTGCTGGTGCTGACGATCAAGGGCGGCTGCGACCGCGGCAGCGTGCTGCTGATTCAGGGGCGCCACCAGGGGTAGCCCGAGGCTCGCCAGGTTCTGGGGTAGCGGCAGGCCGATGTACTGGGAGAGGATGGCGTGGAGCGGAGGTAGCTTGGGGGTGCTACCAGGCCACGGAGGCGGAAAAACCGGCGGCATGAACCAGGGGAAGGCGCCACCTGCGTGGCCCGAGTCGCCGCCGCCCGGCAGCCCACCGGCGCTCTGCAGCAGGTGCGCGTGCAGTGACAGCTCGTTGACACCTACGGTGATAAAGTTTCATGTTGACAATAGGGAGGTTCGCGAGGGCAGCAGTCGTTTGTCTATTTAATAATTTCGCGGACTCTTGTACGCTGGACATACCGGCGAGGTTGAAATTTTCCTACGAGTATTAACTTTGACCTTCCAATAAGTTTACAAAGTCTACAAAGTTTACAACGATACAAATGGAGTTATTAGTTATAAAGTTATTAGTACCTTATAGGGCTTTGTTTGCATAAACTTATTATACGTAATTGTTCAAATTATTTAAAATTTCTTATCGATGGACAAAATTAACCCAAGCTAGAATTGTCGTATTATTGAAACAAACAACGAAACTTCAAACACGACAATCGGTATGTTAAAGTTCAATTTTACATAATTTTATAGAATAAAATCCAATGTCAATATTATGACAGAATGAAGAAAGTATTTCAAACATCGTGATTTTGTTAATATGATTATATGAGAAATGTCAATTACCGAAGGAACAGTTGCATTAAAATTATTGTTAAAATGATAAGAAAAGAATAAATAGATAAATAAACAATATTTGGCACGCAGTCGTATGCGTATAAATGGCCCTCTATACTGCACAATGAATGTATAATATACGAATCTATAATTACTCACGTAACAAATGAAACATTAATAAAAATTGTTCTCCGATGTTTTTTTTTTTTTTTTTTTCACACGTATTTTTCATTTACTTGATTACATGATGTACATTGTATTAAGTACAAACAGAATGATGTCGTGAAGTGATAAGGATTGACATGTGTACGTTAATTGCAGCGCTGCGTGACTAACGAATAATTTTAGATTTCCAGTCTCAAGCTTTCAAACGTGTTATCACTTTTGCTTTTATTCATTTCGAAAATACACGACCAAATAAAACCCAACACAATTTGGCATTGATTACACTTGATTAGCTTCTGCGAGTAATTTTAACAAATTAGCGTGTGTCTAAATTACAGAAAATAGTATTTATAATGACTAATGCAGCCTTATCAATAATTCGCATCTTTATTCGTGCTGCAAATGAAATAGCATACGACAATTAACAAAGTAACAAATTATAATGATTTCGATAGTGTTACGTTAATAATAAAGAAAATTGTACAATTAGGAGTGCCGAAATCTGTAAATAACGAATATAATGGCATAAATTCAAACGATATATTTTGTTGATCGCAGACAAGCAATTAGCCTTCCTCGCAATGGCAATTGCTTGAAAATTACGAGATCATTATTAGATAAAAGCTTATAAATTAGGAAAGTAAATAAAAGTAAAAAAAAAAAATTTTCTTTAATGATATCCGAATAATGAAATATTTGTGTACAATTCTCGAATAAAAATAAAAATGTCGTTGTAGAAAGTCGTAGTTTTAGTGCAGAGCCTAATGAAACATGTAGGACCGCAAACCCTTTATAGTTAACCGAGGGATAGGGAGTGGGTTGTGGTTGGTGATGGGGATGGGGACGGGGGATGTGGGGGCGGGAGAGGGAGGTAGGGAGGGAGGATAGATAGGCGCGGATTGCCCCTTTGAAATTAAGCATAATTGTGGTGGATCTTATCTACCCTCGCGATACGACCGTCCCCTCCCCCAATGTAAGCAAGTGCGTGTCACGTTCTACACGCTTGCTTTTCTTTCCTTTACTCTTCTATTATATACGATTGTCTCTTTATCGCTGCTTGCGTGGGTAATATTTTCTTTTGATAAAATTTTCATTTAACATCCAGAATTAGGCCCGTCGATATATGGCCATTTTTATTTACTCGAAAACACATACACATTAGTCATATCGCTTATCAAGCTTTCGCATCTCTAGTCGACCGGTGAACGTGAAATCAAATTAAGAGTGGAAGGACAGCTAAAACTGTAAAAGCATCAATTTTTTCTTTATTGCTCATTTCTGATGAAAGCAATTTAATGAATATGCCGTAAAACATTTATAATTAAATGTTAGATGATTTAGATAGAATCTTCAATGAGTTTTTTAATATTAAAAATGTCTGTATTTGTAAGGAATTTTTTTTTTTTTTTTTTTTTTTTTTTTTCATTTATTTATTTTTATTTCGTTTATTTATTTATATATTTTATTTTATTTTTCTTTTTGGATTATAAGTTTGCAAATGTATTTTCATTTATAAGCATGCAAATATTCACAGTCTTTGTAAATTTATCGTTATACACGAGGTAAAATGTAAAAAATACAAATAATGGGACAAAAGTACCAGTAATATTAACTCGAATGTTGATATTTAATCTATTGATAATCTTTTAGAAAAACTTACAGATTGCCAAAAAAAGATAAAGATGAAAATGAAGGTATAGACAAAGAAAATAGCAAAAGATATTATCATTTTTAAATGAAACAATTTTATACCTTTAAATTACGTAGAAAAATTGAAGATTTAAAAGAAAAACATTTACTTAAAATGTATTTAGTTTTACAAAGTAGTTTGCAAAGATTATCGAATAATACTATTAAATAATGCATGAGCATACATAATATGCGTTGGAATAATAACTCGAAAAGTAGGAAAATTCATGGAAAGTCGAATAATATATTAATCGGCTTAGACACACGGAAAGTGTGGACTCTAAATCAATATTTATACGTTTAATAATCTATTGTTGAATCAGGCCATTTTAATATTGATATTTATTAACGAGAATAATGTGTCTCCTAATCGTGAATCATTACTTTACCAGGTGAAACAAATCTTTCTATACTCCGAGCATATGTTCAGTAATTAATTGTCAATAACCAAACGACAATTATTCAAGCGTCGAAATGATAATCCACTTTACGCGTAACCCGATTGCTCGTTAAAAAAAATAATGTGCAAGTCCATCGATGGCATTTGAACGAAAATCCCGAACAATGAGCAATGGATGCAAGAAAATTTTACAATATTGATCTTATAAGGATCTTTGTTAAGTGCTCAGGGGCAAAAATGTATGTCGAGCCGGATTAAAAGAGGTTTTAACCACTTACCACCTTGTTCGACGTGCATAAAGCTCGTGTCCCTTCCCAAGGCCTTTTCCTTCTTGCGCCACTTGGCACGGCGATTCTGAAACCACACCTGGAACACAAACACAAACACACACACACACACACACACACACACGTTTATTTAATGACAATTTCATTTGCTATTTGAGATGCTTTGTCGAGCGAAAACGACACATTCAAGTGTAATCTAAAGAAATTACTCAACTCTGGCGCTCGTTGCGACACAACAGGCTCCGTTATCGGACACCCGTGAATTTGTAATCTTACAATGATTGCCGATCCGTTACGGCGTAACGCACTCGCTATTATATCTTGAAAATTAGAAACGGTTTATACTCTAATAGTTACGTACGAATCTTAACTAACCCAATCAGCGCCTACCTTATTTATAATTAAACATCAGTCGATATGTCGCGGTGTTGCGAGAATGCTCAGTATTCTCAGTCAGTGCACACATCGATGCGATGCTGCGGGATGAGAGGAGGAGGAGGAGGAGGAGGAGGAGGAGGAGGAGGA